CAAGATTACAATCTTACAGGAGCTTACGAAGATAATGGCAAGACAGTACTGAAGTTTGTCCGTAAATATGATACGTGTGACGAACAAGACGTAAAAATTGAGGTAGGTCATGTTGGAATATGCCATTTTGTGCAAACATCATGATCGTGGTTGTGGATGGATTGTCGGAGATTAGAGTGTTTGGATTGYAAGGTGGTGGGATCAAATGGCGGATGGTATGGCAGTACGTGGTTTGATATCTATTTGTTCAAGTAAATTTAAGTTTCACTTTTGCGACTGCAGTCTGGCCGTGGCGTAGGAATGCTGGATGCATGAGGTTATCCACCAGATAAGCTTAGCCAATACTTAGATTTCGTATAGATTTTATCCGCTGGCTAAGTAATACTCCAGTTTCGAATTTTCTTTTGTGCAAGCATAGCTTAGCTTTTCACTGATCAAGCATAGATTATTATTGTCTTCTTTTTACATATATGTTGTATTACAATAGGATCTCTGCTGAATAAAAGAATATATTGCATGCTTTTGAGGTTAAGGCTGCCACAAATAAGATCTTGAAACTGGAGTTATCGGTTGAATAGCACTGTTTGCCCTTCGTACAGACCGCACCTTTTGCTAACTGTTATTATTGAACTGTTTAGGCCCGTCAACACTTGCGATTTTTTGCAGAGCGATTCGCGAGGCGATCATCACGCGACGGTATCGCCTGAGTTTCGAACATGCTAGAAAACAATATACCTCTGAAGCTTTTACGTCATGTACCGTATACACAATGCATTGTAGGATATGTTTGGGACAGAACATGGCGGATTTCTTTTGTTTTCTCTTGAAATTGATCCCACAATGCATTGAAAATCAAGTAGTGACGTAAAAGGTTCAGAGGTCTATTGGCTGCAACTTCGCGTTCCAGGGCTTTTCTCGATGTATACAACACAGGGTTCCCAAAGGGTTAGGTTTAGGGTAAGGGATAGGGTTAGGTTATATTGAGGTATATAGAGCGTATAATGAGTGTTGTATACATTGAGAAAGAGCCGCGTTCCATCGCTGYAACAACTGAATCGCAGGGCTGTTTACACGTACGATTYTAGTTGCGCGATAGCAAAGTGGCGATTATTGCGCTGGCAAAAATTGCAAGTGYAAWCGGGCCTTTWAAGTCATAACTCAGCGTCAACTAGKATTTTCTTTTCCTTTCTCCTACGGYAGCAAGGAACAGTACGAGTGGTCTACTCCTACCATCCCAATGATCCCGAATCCGARGACGATATCAAGCAACACACTGTTAAAGGCACAAGGTCTTTGCTCTTTCTTAATATCCTCACCAAAAAGCCAAACTTGCCCAATGATTTAAAAGAATTTGACTTTCGAGTGAATGTAAGTCTTTTTATTATTATTATTTCCAATATAATTACTTGCTTTGTTTCATTGAGCTTTTTGACATTATCATATTTATCGCACTGCACTACAGTCCCGGAATTACAACTTTTTCAATTTTTGTGGTCATATACAACTAATTGGAAATTGTGTTTGGGTCAGGAATAAATAGAGTGCACGCCAAAAAAGCGTGAAACAATTCTTAACTATCAACATCTAATAAGATTTAGTTATCAACTAACTAAGAATTCACTGGGGCATGAACACAATGCCAAAAAGAAAATTTTCTTTGTTTATACCTCACTGAATTCTTAGAGTGGTTTTCATAGAGTGGTTCTCATTAACCCATGAAATACATTTTAGCGTATTACACTTTATTACACTTTGTCTCTTTTGTTTTCTATTCATATTTCTTGGCTATTACACTTTATTACACTTTGACTATTACACTTTGTTTCACGGGTTAATGAGAACCACTCTAAACCCGTGAAACAAAGTGTAATAATTAGAGTGTAATAGATCGTAATAGTCGCGTAGAGACAATAAAAACAAAAGAGCCAAAATGGAACTATTCCATCTCTTTTCTCCGACGAAGGATTAACGTCCGAAACGTCAGTAAGTTATTTCACATACTTTTTTTACGGTGTTAAATTTATCTTTTTACACAACTGTTTCTTTATCAATTCGGCGAATTGTGTATAAATGGTTGTAACATGAATGCCAAAATTACATTTTCACTTTCATTATTGCTATTCCTTATAATTTCCGTGTAGATCAATGTTTCCAGCAGAGAGACCTTGTATCACTGCAAACCATTCCAAATGCCAGACTTCAACGATACCAAGAAGCACGTCGTCAAGGTAAMATGACGTCATCAGTTATTTCMTTRTCCTGGTTCTTTCCTAGAAATAAGTGATAGTTTTTCTGCTTACATTGAATTCTTTACTACAGTATAAAGGATTGGCAATTACGAGCAACTAATCAATTCAACTTGTTTCAAATGATTGCAGCAGAGTTATACTGTTGCAGTTTTTTTAACAAGAGTACCAGCTTATGGCATTTTCTGGCCCTCGCCCACAATTCTTTGATTTACTATGGGAAAGTCTCACATAGTTTTAAACAATATTTTATGTAACTATAGTGAGYGTTTTAATTTCTAATAAATCGGTTATGGATCCTCAGAAGACCCATAGCCATCATGCTCCCGGATCGTCTATTCGTAATAAAWGTTCGTATATCTAATGAAGCCTTCTTGACGCCATTTTTATCATTCRTTATTCATTTTATATAGAATCAGCTCACTGAGAAATGTTTTGGTCATGATTTGTATTCTTAGGACTGATATGGTTCCTTTTCACTTAAATTTAGATCTCACCTATTATCACCCCTGGTAACGAGGGTCTTGTCCACCATATCCTGGTTTATGGATGTAAAGATGATTTTCCTGTTTCTAATCTCAGCGTTGAGGGAGCATGTTATGGATCTAACATGCCTGACCATGTTAAATCATGCTCTGGGCGGTCGGTAGTTGCAGCATGGGCAATTGGTGGTGGTGTAAGTATAAGGCATGCGACAGTAGAAAAGTGAACKGTGAACAACGCAAATATCCAAAAATTGTTTAAAAAGTCCAGTCAAACAACGTGAGGGTCTCAATTGGGGTGTCAGTTTGATGGTTAAGGGCTACAATGGCGGTTGACTGTTAATTTTTCAATTTGACSCTTAACTGAAATTTTAGCATGATTTTAGACTTAGTATAATTACATTAAATATACATTATAAAAGCTGGCTTTTAAAAAGCACTCATCGCATACCTAAAGAAGGGAGAGGATTACAGAAAAACGCGTGATGATGGTTAACGTTTTTGACTGTTAACGTTTAAAAAACGGCAATTTGACAGCTACGGCTAACATTTTGACCATATGACGGATGACGTTTAACGCCATTGAGCTCCTAAACAAATAAGTACGAGCAAAATAAAAGAAGAAGTGCCTACAGGTAATACAAGATAAAAGATGTGCATAATATGATACAGAAAAAAAAACTGCGTATCAAAGATACCATTCACTCGTCCATCCATATTTCAGTACAAGCATAACGTTGTCACAATTATTATTGTTCATTTTGGGTCAACAGGATTTTTACTTTCCCGATCATGTTGGTTATCCTATTGGAGACAACCTTGCATTGAAGTTTGTTGTGATGGAAATTCACTACGACAATCCTAAAAAGCTGACAGGTATATCTGTACAATGCACATGCTCCCAATTGTTTTAACAGATTATTTGCATTGGTCTTTGCCACTACATAAAAGTTTGCTATGGTGATTAGTGCATATGGAATAAATAGAAAGCACCAGGTCATAGTGGAAATCTTATAACTAAGAAAGACAAAAACGTCTTTCCCATTACATAAAAGTTCAGTTGCTATGGTGATTGGTGAGTGGAATAAATAGAAAGTACCAGGATAGCGGATATCWTATGACTAAAGAAAACTAAAAAAGCTCCACAAATCAAAATTAGTGTCGTTTATTATCGTTTGTTTTCCGCATTTAATACACACTMCATTACTTAATTTCGYCATCTATGCTGCAGTGACGGATCCGTGGAAGAATAGGGTGCATAAACACTCGCCATTTTCTCCCCCTTTTTATCTATGATGTCATCCCTTTTTTTTTCATGTTCTAATATACCTATGACCTATCAAACTAGGACTCACTGATCAGTCTGGTATTCGTTTTCACTATACTTCAACCCTACGCCAATATGATGCCGATATACTTTGGGTTGGTTGGACCGTGAATTTCTACATGTGGATTCCACCGAATGAAAAGAAGTGGAATTCGGTCGGCTACTGTCCATCAAGCTGCACAAAACTCGTAAGTTCCTCAATAACAAATAGGGGGGTTCGTTTTTTTATAATGCATACCTAATTAGATTAAACATTTAACTAAATTAGTTCAATGCACATGTATGGTGTCAACGAACAGGCTCACTGCTAGTTTGAGCAGTTCATAACAAAAGAATTTTAAAATAGAACAATAAAAAATGAGAAGCACCGAACCAGTTAAGCTTGTGGGGTTGGGGGTGGGGGGGCTGGGGCTAGTCCGATTAGGTTTATATAACCAAAAACGAGAAAAGTACTTTAAGCTTTGAATCTATTCAAAACTTATTCTTYTTTCCTTATAGGGATTAGCAAACAGTCCTTTAAAAGAGGGAGGTATCAAAGTGTTTGCAGCTATGCTTCATTCTCACCTWCTTGGTAAATAAAGAAAAAACATATCAAAGAATTGCCCCACAAAAGTTATCCTTCGTTTAGCAGCCATATATGGTAATCTTACCTTATTTGGAAGTTCGATAGGAATGGTTTTTGTCGATTTTCTCGACTTTTAAAGCTTGAAATCGTCTGAAACTTGCAGATATTATAGCGAAAACACTTCTAAACAATCCGCCATTTTGTTTTTTTCCATATATGGCATGGATTCGCTAAAGGAAGCCCAAAACAAAAAAGCACAGGGAACCCGCACGAATGATATACAATTCTTTGATATGCAACAACAAAAATAACATGACGATCAACATCCAGAATTTTCCTTATTTGGATAAACTTTTCTTTCCATATAGGGACCGCACTATGGACTAAGCACATCCGCGATGGAAAAGAACTGCCACATATAGTCAAGGACGAACACTATGACTTTAACTTTCAGGTACGTTACCAACGGCTCGGAAATGCTGTATCGTCATTGTAAGCGCGCGAAAAGATGTGCAGCTGGGACAATGTTCCTCAGTTTGGCCACTAAAACCTCAAGTAAATGTAGCACGCTAAATGTATCCTTGTTTTGCAAGTATCATAGTTAGCTCTCCCAAAACAATATCTTGCTTCAAAGAAGACTTCTTGTATTCTTTCATTTCTTTCAGGAAACACAGGTTCTCAAAGAGGAAAGACRTATCTTACCTGTAAGTTCTTAGCTCCAATCCGTGTGCTCAAGAGCGGATCCAGGATTTTTTCAATAAAATAGCGCGAACTTTTGTCGGGAAATTTGCATGACGGATTAGTTTGGAGAACGTATCAAATAGAAATTTCCCGCTAAAATTTGCGAATTAATTAGGAAACTATTTCACTTGTTATTACGAGAATTTTATTTTTCCAAAATGGGGGAGGGGGGCCACTGCCCCCACCCCCCTTCCCTCTCCCCAGAAAACCGCCACTGGTGCTCATGATCGAACGAGAAATCAAACTTTTAATTCGATAGTGCCGGATATATATATAGAACCCGTTTTTAAAATGTGATTGGAAATCCCAATGATTGAAAGCACTTTGAAATCAGCTATCATCAATGTTCTTTTTCAGGGAGACGTATTGACGACACATTGTCAGTTTGACTCCTCACAAAGGACAAAGCTTACAACGGTAGGGAGATGTTATAATTAGGGAACAAAATTCATCGTACAGTTACGCAGCTATATTGGCTGTTTTCCAACTTCATTTGACATTCAAAAGACATTACACTATTTAAGGGAATCTTTACGAAAGTTTCATGAGTAATAGCCATTATCTTCTCCTTCCATAGGGAGGACTATCCACAAAAGAAGAGATGTGCTTGAGTTACATGTATTATTACCCTAGAGCTAATTTGACCAAGTGCGTATCAAGCGTCTACGGGAGTTATGAATTCGTAGAGGAATATAAAAAAAAGTAAGACTCCGTGACGGACATAAATGATGATAATGATCCTAAAATCTCATTCTATATATTTATGTTTGAATTCAAGATTCTTCTGTAGATAGCATATTGTTAATCTTGCCTCTTTGATATCATATATATARCTAGCTCTACACTTTATGTGTATTGAGCACTCTTTAATGGGATCAGCCACTTCCTCATACGATTAGCATATTTAAGAAATATAAAACGGCGCGCGTGTCTCTGTCCTCTKATATGAACACGGTGGGAGTTAGAAAAACACGAGAGAAGCAAGCTTAGGAACACGAGCGTAGCGAGTGTTTCTCTTGCTTCTCGAGTGTTTTTCAACTCCCACCGTGTTTATATCAGAGGACAGAGACACAAGCGGCCGTTTTATATTTCTTTTATAAAATTTTTCGAGCGAAAAGAAAATTTTGCCGGTAAGCCGTGTCTCTGTCCTCTGATATAAACACGGTCGTGAGCCAATCAGAGCGCGCGTTATATATCAAAAATTTTATAATGTTATATAACTTATAAGCCAAAATTGTAAGTACATATGATGGCAATACGGTACTAACTAAAGGCAAAGCTCTCGGTTTCTCGACGACAATAAACTATCTACAGAGAAGAATCTTAAATTTGAAAATGATACATGATAATGATATCTGCGGCGAGGATAATGGTGATATTTATCAGAGCAGTATGATAACAAAAATAAAAGAATTTGAATTGAATCGATCGAATGATGTTGTTGCTTCCCCCGTGTCTGTGTCGGGGCTGATGCTGGCGTTTACGCWTCTGCACCCATATTGGGGAGTTACTGTTGCTGCTGTTGTAGCTTTTGCCGTTACCGTGGAAGTTGTTTTTGTTGCTACTGTCGTTGTTAACTGCAGCRATGGCTTGCAACTTAATATAACAACGTGTTATAGTATAACGCGCGCTTTGATTGGCTGACGACCGTGTTTATATCAGAGGACAGAGACACGGCTTACCGGCAAAATTTGCTTTTCGCTCGGAAAATTTTATAAAAGAAATAGAAAACGGCCACTTGTGTCTCTGTCCTCTGATATAAACACGGTGGGAGTTGAAAAACACTCGAGAAGTAAGAGAAAAATATCAAAAAAYGATRCATTTCTTTCATCATAGGACGAACACAAGCGTAAAAGCCAGCGAATTTAGGAACATGGAATGGAAGAAGGAGTGGACAGTGGACCTTGAGAAAGCCGAGAAAAGTGAAAAATACACTCGAATACATTGCGAGGGCATTAAGGGTGTTGATTTGGATCCGGTAAGTAAAAAAAGCTCTGTCGCCTGGGGTATTTCTATTCTTTTTCATGTAATCTTTTTGTATCGTAGGTGGATGGCCAATTCCTTCCGATTCCATCTATTAAAGTGGCCTTGAATGAGACCAAAGACTGCAGTGTTCTTCCTACCACCCAACCGCCTCGCCCAGAATCTGCCAGTGTCAAAGTCTCCGTTTCCGTTATCATGTTGGTTGCAGCAGTATTTCTGGCTAACATTGCTTAATTTGGTTTCATTTTCTTATTGTTATGTAATCAATTTTGTTATTACTACTACATTTTAAAGATATGAAACGGCGCGCGTGTCTCTGTCCTCTGATATAAACACAGTGGGAATTGAAAAACACGAGATAAGCAAACTTGGAAACACGACCGTAGCAAGTTTTCTCTTGATTCTCGAGTGCTTTTCAACTCCCACCGTGTTTATATCAGAGGACAGAGACACAAGCGTCCATTTTATACCTTCATTATAAATTTTTTCTGTGTTTTTCGAGCAAAAAGCAAATTTTGCCGGTAAATCGTGTATCTGTCCTCTGATATAAACACGGTGGTCAGCCAATCAGAGCGCGCGTTATATATCGAAAAAATTATAAATCACTATATATTGTTTACTGTACACAGCACTCGGATTATGTAGTCTATAGAACGATTTGGACTTAAATCGATTTAAAATGTGATGCAGGGGTCACTCCTATATATTGTTGTACGGGAATGATCTGGTCCTAATCTGGTACCTATAAAGGTATCTGTAGATATGAGAATAAAAACAATTCCTTTCTAAACCTTTCAAGCAGAAGGTGTTTGAAGTTCATGTCTCTAGAAGAATAAAGATATTATTAGAAATATACATTAGGTCATTTTTAACTGGTATCTKTATAGCGTGAAAGTCAAAATCTTATGTTGACATAGGCACCACCGTGGGACTTTCTTTTTTGAATATTTTTGATATTTACAACAATCACCCCGTCCTAAATATAAGGGGTATCTGCTCTCCTCACCAGAGTAGATTGATGAAATAAAGGTCAGRGCCAAGACGAGAAACCTCAAAGAGCTGGCATGTCTGTAAAATACTAGCTTAGCGCGTTACAAAAATTTAATATCCACCCGGTAGAGTAGTAAACGGGTCGAACACTACCGTCAGAACGAAGCTTGTGGTTGATCAAGACATCATAAACAAATTGTAGGATTACGTCAGACAATGCATATTGTTCTACAGGACTTCTTCGTTTTTTTGTATTGCCTGTCTCTCTTTGTTATTTCATCAAATCACAATCTTTGTTCTAACAGTTATAGTGTACAATATCAAGGAATTGTATGTCATTCGTGCGGGTTCCCTGTGCTTTTTAGTTTTGGGATTCCTTTAGCGAATCCATGCCATATATGGAAACAAACAAAATGGCGGATTGTTGAGAAGTGTTTTCGCTATAATATCTGCAAGTTTCAGACGATTTCAAGMTTTAAAAGTCGAGAAAATCGACAAAAACTATTCCTATCGAACTTCCAAATAAGGTAAGATTACCATATATGGCTGCTAAACGAAGGACAACTTTTGAGGGGCAATTCTTTGATATGCACCCTTACTAAAATAGACTGGAAAAAAAATTAGAAATGATAACAGTGCAAAATGATTGTWATCACTTGACTAGTAGTGATAAGCTCATTGGAAGATATGTTTGTAATTTTTCACTGATATGCATGTGTGATAGCATCAGCTAGGGATACAGCTATGTCCAGATATTTAGAGACAGCGAAAACTGGGAAGAAAGACTCTTGCTGGGGATGTGGAGGGGAAGGAGCCGTCTTGTTGCTTGAATCAATATTTATACGATGACATAAAACTCAAAACCGTGCAACCGTGCTGACATTTCTTAGCTAGTTTTATAATTTATACTCTTTTCTTTAATGTCACTGAGCGCTCGGCTTGTGCTGATCGAGGTGGTCTTGGTATCATCACAGTTTGAATATCATACAATAGCTTGAGACCGATGAAGCTCTCATGTCATAAACCGTATTATACGCAATGCGTTATAAGATATGCTTGGGACAAAACATGGCGGATTTCTTTTGTTTTCTCCAGAAGCTAGCCATACAGTACACTGCAAATCAAGTAGTTGACGTAAGAGAGCTTCAGAAGTTCATTTGTTAGTCGGGCTAGCCGAAGGCGGCCCGACTTTAGTTTTACCTTTTAGTCAATCTGTGTATCATGACGCGTTCGGACCACCGGAAGTTAAGAATTTAATAATTAACAATTGGGTTGGCAGTGTTAATACATTACCGGAAGCTCAAACGATCTCAATCGTATAGATGTACGAATATCGTTATTGAATGTTATATGGTACTTGCCAAAAAACTATTCGTTTACAAATGTGGTATCTGTGATCTCATCGGAATGCATCTGTCTAGGCATTAGAAGTACGCGCATGTGCAGATCGCATAGAGTTTCGAGTTGTATGCTTACAAAACTGAATCAATATCCTTTCTAGTGTTAGACAGTCTTGTGGGGGCAAAGATTTCAAATTAGAACAAGAAGAAACTTTGTTTATCAAAAACAGAAAGGCGAATTTAATGATTTTATAGGCATCTTTTTTCTTGTAAAGTTTTTATTTTCTTTGCCTGAGAGGTCATCATTATATCACTTAGCGAGACATTTGTCTGAGCCTAGTTCGATAACAAAAAGGCGAGTTTAATGATTTTATAGTATCATTTACTTTGTAAAGTATTTTCTTGGCCTGAGAGGTCAACGTTATCACTTAGGTCACTTATCCACATACCATGTTTGATTTTATCAGTCAAAGCAAGGACTCATTTAAAACGTTCATAGATGTATTAATTACATGACATTTCAGGTCAAGTTTATTTTAGTCTCAAGAGAGTTTGGATATTTTGAACTAGACGCTCTTATTAGACCGTGAGTTCGGCTTTTTTGGAGAAAAATTAAGAAATATATATTTTAATCTAATTTTTATATTTTATGTAATATCCTGCTGTCTTTCTCAAGGTTCATTTACATTCATAATATCATATGATTAGACAGAATATAACATCATAATCTTTTCACTCATGTCTATCAATTTTCAAAAATAGTCCGACTTCACGCCCCAGGGGCGTCTAGTTTGGTTAAAACCAAGTAGTAAAAGATACATCAGCCCCAAGCAAGTAATTATCAATTGCGTATTTCATGGGTCAAGTGCATTTGCTTTATCAAATTGTTRAATACCGTTTCCATGGAACCGGGATCATGGTGTCATTTTTTGTTTGTATTAAAGTGCTGAGTAATGCGCCTAGTCTTGCTACGGAAATTTGATTAGAGACGGAAAACTACGAGACACCAGGAAAATGTCTTCTATTCTAAAACTCTTTATTTCAGTGTTGCTCGCCGCTTCTTTCGCCTCTGCAAGTCTCAATACAGAGTACAGTAACTCAGCATTCCTCGATGAAGCTAAAACTTACAAACTTTATTGGAAAATTGACGATGATAAGAAAATAATATTCTTTGCTGTCGAAGTCGAAACACTTGGATGGGTTGGCTTTGGGATATCGCCTGGAAATGGGAATATGGCTGGATCTGATGTTGTGATTGGCTGGGTTAAAGGCAATAAGGGTTATTTGAAGGTACTGATACTCAAAGATGTTAATTTGAAATTTGCTGCTAAACATTAATTCATAAGTGACAACTATAAAACAGATAAGAAACTTAGTGTGACCGTAGTGCTTATCTATCACAAGTTTTTTTGTAAATGCAATAGACTAATACAGTGGAAATTGTTAACGCTTAGACGGCCCACTTCAAAACGTTTGACAATTCAAGATTAAATTACAAAGAACATCATAGGCAAATACAGATTTTTTTAACAGGGGTGTGGGAAAAACATTCAAATGCCAACCAAGGTCAATTATTTGGGTGTTAACGAAATTTTAAAGACTAGCTGACGTAACTTGCTGTAAGAATTGATCGATAGCTGACTTCTCTGTTTACATTCCTGAAATTTTGATACATTTTCTTGCATTTTCTTTAAAATTAGATCACTTTTTAGTTTTTTTTTAGGAATCAAGAGTTCATTCCATACTAGTATGTTATATTTACAGAGCTTACAGCTTTTTAAACTTGTGAAATTCAGTACCTATAAACTAGACAAGAACTAGATCTAGTTAAGAAGATCTATATCTAGAAGTTCTATAGAAGAGCTTGGTAAAATTCTGTACTGTACGAGATGTACTAGGAACTACAGTTATAAAGAAGGAATTCAGAAAATGGTTCGACGAACTTGCATACCAAAAGTGTCGAGTAAATTATAACAGACCTAGCAACTATAAAGGAGGTTTATCATTACATTGGKGATGATAGTTAATTAAGGACTGTCAAACTAAGACATTCTTAGCATAATTATAGAGATTAATCATATAGCATATAGCGTGCGTTATACATATAAGGTTTCAGTTGTTTTCTCCGCGGTGGATATACAAAYCTCAATCGCTTCAATCCTGTATAACGTCGCACTCTCTACAACTGCATGATGTCTTCAAAATCAAAACGTTCCATCAAACCTCCACTCGACCCTGACTTTCTATATGAAGGATTGCCGCGAAGGCTTCTTTATATCAGAGAGAGGAACGAGACTCTCCGATCAACGCTTCCCGCGACTTTTCGCAAGAATCCATGAATGATGGTTGCGCAAAAACTACAACTGGCGCAACATAATTTTTGCAATATGAAATTTGAATGATACAGAATATTTTCTTTGGATTCTCCGACATGAAGTTTTATCTGTAACACTCAATTATTTTGAAGTTATCGATGACCGCTAAACTTCGCATTTTAAATAAGTCAAAGAAAAATGATATGAAATCACAATAAATATTTACTTTTTAAATCCTTTTTTTCTTCTTTTGTTTAGAAGTTGTCAAAGCAGGAAGCCATTATTAACAWTGATTAGWCTCTCTTACTCAGTTCGAAGATTGAAAGTGCAAAACGGCAGACGAAAAGAAAGAGATTACAGCAAGGAATGTTTTTTTTCTATCTAGTAAAATTTTAATGAATTCCTATTAGAAAATATTTTTTAGCCATATGAGAGTCAAAATTGCGAATGAAGTGACGTCAAGGAATTATTTCACAATCATATGTGAATAATGAGTTGACTTCAAATATCCATTCGCAATCCGTTTAACTTACAGAATCTCCATTCATGGAGCATAAAGGGATATTAAAGAGTAATTTTTTGCTTATTTACGATGAATTTTCATTTTCAAACATAAACAAAAGCACAAAGG